GCCTGCAATGTTTGCATGCGCAGACTGCCCTCGCCGTACCAGCAAGACTGCACTTGAGGATTACTAGGTCCGCGGCAGGATCAGCATCTGCTTCTATCAGGTGCGGTGATTTGTGTTTTACAAGTTTACTGCAATGTGTTTGTCCAGTGTGGAGACAACACGCAACACTTTCAGCATTTTTCACCACATTTGGCTGCTCCCACACGCCTATTCTGACATTCGATGATGTCGGTTTTGGGCATTCAGCAGCCCAAAGATGCTTGTGCTGGTACTGTAGATTTTCTGTAGACATGACAGGACAGTGAAGCACAGTCCCTCTCCTGCTGACACCCGGGCAAATGCGCACATTGTTGTGTGCCTGCCCTGTGGTCGGTGTGTTTCTGAGGAAGATGTGCTAAGTCAGATTTTACTGACAACTGTCACACCATGTCATCAAATCTTCAGCCATGGACAGAAGCCCCGCAGCGTTTGTAGTGTAGTTTTGCACGCATTTCCAGATCAAATCACTTGTTTCGTCACAAACAGCTTCGGACCTTTGCTGACCGCATTTACTGTGGCGGATCATTTTCAGTCCTGTGCTCCTTTTGTTTCGCTCGCGTGCGGTCCTGGGGAAGGCCACAGAGACCACATGCTTGGCTCAGAGACCATGTTTCCCAAACCCTGGCTGCAAACCCAGCAGAGCCAAAAAGGGTTGACGTCCCGCAGCGATGCGAACGTCAGCAGTTGTCTTGCCAATTCTGCAAATCAACATTTGCAGAAGCTTGGATGCGGAGAGAGGCAGTCGTTGAGACCAAGAGCTCACATGCATGTCACATGTCACTCGAACAGTTGGTGTTAGCATTGCTTTGGTTCTCATCCTCATCATCATCGTGCGACCTCCCGATCAATGTTTGTTTCCACAAAGCCAACTCCAGTGCTCGTCATACTATAAACAAGGGCTCATCATCACTGAAAATCCGAATCTTGGACGCTCCCTCTTGGCCACTCAGCGTCAGCAAAAGTCGCCTGCTACTCTTGTCAAGGGGTAAATGGTGCGGGGGGGCTGTCACGCTGTATGTGAGAGTTTGTGCTGCTGGCGTCCCGTTTGCCATCTCGCGGTTTCTCGTTCACGATGCTTCGGTTGGATATGGATGGGGTGCGGCCAAACCCTAGCATGCGGTGTTGATGCGTCCGCGGATGTGATGCTTCGGTTGGAAGAAATATGTTGCTCCTGTCGGGCGGGCGACAGTGCTGTGTTTCGGGAGGTGGTGTAATTTGATTGATTTGGAACTGCCTTCCTGTCACTGGTAGTAAGAATGCTACTAGTAGTAATGCCAGGAGACCCTAATGGCGTCCTTGCTCCTAGTAGTAAGGCCAGGAGCCCCTAGTAGCTTCTTGTTGCTAGTTGTTTTTTGCTTCCGTGGCCGATGTGAGTGATGACGAATTGGAAGCTCCTGCAGAATTTGAAGCTCCTCCACTACGTCAGATGCGCGCGGTGGAGGTGGGGGTACTAACTACTACGACAAGACCCAGCTTACTCTATATATGTACTTTGACTGCTCAAAAAAGCTCGCTCCCTTTCAAAGACAGGTGACAAAGGTTCCACCGCCCACATTTCGGATAAGTTGCCAAAGTTGAACAGATTTTGTTCTGAGACCATATTCCTGCCAGAACAATCCGGAAAACCATTGCGCCAGCGCAACAATGTTTTGAACAAACCGTGGGACAGTTTGTGGGCCAGGAAGCTTGTGCACATGCCGCCATCAACTAACATAACCAACCTTTTGCCTCCGGAGTTTTATCTACACGCCGTCTCACCAACGTTTGAACTATCTCCGCCGCTCGTTTGGGTCACAGCTCTACGGCGCTGATTGTTTTGAGCCCTGCGAGAACAACACGCGCGTGACCTCAGAGAACAAAGTGGTTAGACAAGTATGGTTACGGATGCTACGGTGTGTTGTGGTCACTGAAAGTCAAAACAAAGTCCAGCTGTCTTTACGAGGTGGGGCACACATAATAATTGCTGTACACTGTTTGATTTTTTGGGGTAGTTGGAGGCCATGGCTATTAGGTTGGAGGCCATTGCTTTGTTCAATGAGGCTGTGTGCGCATTTTTGGGCACATAACCCACTGCAGTGGAGGGCAGGGACATTGACATTACAGGACAATTGGACAATTTGGCCAGTGTGTCCAACGCCATCCAGGTGTGGCAGCACTGGCTAAAACTGCGCGCCACCAGTTTACAAGTATCACGCATTGATCAGATCACGTGGTCTGCAGCACCATCCCTCCGACAAACAAGAAACACCTTGCATTGAATAGTCAGATGTTGCACCCCTCAGTTTAATTGTACTATTCTCAGTTTGTTGTTGGTCTGATGCGGGTGCTAGACAATTTTGATAGGTCAAAGTCGTGAATCCAGCGCAGGTTGCCGAACATCATGACAAGATTGGCCAAATTGCCGCAGAGTATCCCACCACTTGCACTTGGTGTTGTAGTTGTTCTGGTCGGACATGTTGTGGAGTGCGATGATGAGTGTTGCGGTGCAGCAGCAGGAGGAGGAGGAGGCAAAGGGGGAGGAGAGGATTAAGATGGTGATGCAGAAACTCGATTTATGGTGATTACCTAAAGGACCTACCGTGCATCGTGTTTTTTGCTAATAGCTGTGCGGCGGTTTCACTCACTCGAACCACAAAATTTTGGCACAAATCTGTTACACTGGGTTCCCCTATGTTCTCCCTCTCAGACTTCCATCCTGCGGCTTCTTGAGATCATTGTGCAGTGTAGTTTGGAGGGGCACAGGAGGCGCGCCCCCTGCAGATAGGCCCTTTTCCGCAATCAATCAAATGTCCTGAGGCATCCCTGTGTAATGGCCTTTGTCGCGCCTGGTGTTTCAGGAGGCCCGGCCATTTTCAGTTACGGGAGTCCGTCGCTTTGAAGTGCTTACTTGCAGGACGCACATTCCAAGCGGCAGCACCACCTGCAGGAGTTTGAACAAATTTCGGGGATTCATCCGATGCGTTCTGCTTTTGGAACCCATATAATATCGGATTTGTGTGTATTGATCCGGAAAGATTTTGGCCTAGTTGGTATAGGATGGCATTGGTGCACATGGAAGTGTGGTGGTGACGGCTGGCAGGTTTTGAAGTTCCATGAAGTTCCCGAGTCGACACAAACATCACAAACCATTAGGAGATTTACAAATGACCAGGACGTCCTGCTGTGCCGCGACTTGAGAATGCCTCTCAATTCTTGGCGAAGGTCAGCCCCAAGCTCCAAACCAAGACTATTTGTCGAGTTTGCTTGCCACTGCCTTTGAGGTTCTACACTGCTTATATAAATACACTAATTCATCTAAATTCTATGCAGGTTTGCACTCCAAGGTGCACTGGTAACATTCTGCAACCAAAGATATTGCCTTTGGGCCTTTGAAAGTCCGGGCAGGAACACCACTTATATATAATTGGTGAATATCAGTTCGTAGATGCTTAGTCGATGCTCCGTACTCGTACCATCGCATGGTTTGAGAGGAAAGTTGAATTCGAAAAATAGCTAGGGCGTTTGCGGCGAAATAGAGGGCAAGAACCTGTGAAGCCTCCCTCAAAGGACGTTGACCAAGACTATATATATATATATAATAGCATGCATCCGGAATACTAAGTTACTAAGTAAGATGTCACTGCCTTGTAGCGCTTGTTGGATGCTTGCACTTCTGAAGATTTGGTTAGAGCCAATCAAGTCAAGTTGTTTCAAGAAGATGAATCCAGAGCTTTGCGAACTAGCTGCCGCTGCAGGGCTTTTCACTGTCCATTGGCCTCTGTGCAGTGGTCCTTGCAAGTCAAGTGCAGAGGCATGACGTGCGAAGACACTTTCTGCTAAAAATAGATGAAGATGAAGATTGTACTTGTGAGTGAACTTGAATCTTGCCGAGAAAGAATGACAGAACCAAATCCCACTAGGCAATCGAGCTGAATGTAGGCAGTGCTGCAGTGCTGCCACACGATAATGATTATATGATTAAATGACCATCAAAACAGGACTCTTGAATGGTTGAAGCTGCTGAAGCTAGTGTTCCCCGCCAGGTCAGGGATTTTGCGGCGGTCCCGGGACTCTCGATTGCATTTTAGACATTGCCTTGTGGGGAAAGAATGTGTTTGTCTCCTGGGCGAAAAAATAAGTAAGGCCAAGACATCGCGAAAAAGCACAGCAAGCGGTACAACAGGATCTTGCTGCAGGAAGTCGCAGTGCTTGCACCCAGACAAACCTGCGATGTTTGCATGCGCAGACTGCCCTCGCCGTACCAGCAAGAGTGCTTCTGAAGAGAGCTTGGATTCCCAGCCAGTAGCAGTGGCAGCATTCATTGGTGAGGAAGTTGCCACCAAGGCATGTGGCAGGAAGTCGCAGTGCTTGCACCCAGACAAACCTGCGATGTTTGCATGCGCAGACTGCCCTCGCCGTACCAGCAAGAGTGCTTCTGAAGAGGGCTTGGATTCCCAGCCAGTAGCAGTGGCAGCATTCATTGGTGAGGAAGTTGCCACCAAGGCATGTGGCAGGAAGTCGCAGTGCTTGCACCCAGACAAACCTGCGATGTTTGCATGCGCAGACTGCCCTCGCCGCATGAGCAAGACTGCACTTGAGATTGAGGGCTGCTAGGTCCGTAAAACAGAAGGGACGTGTCTTTTTTGTCAGGTGGGGTGCCCAAAGGTTTGTTAAACAGTTTTTTTGTTGAGTTGTCAATTTGTTCATCAATAGCTTCGCTAGTTTTTGCAGACGGCAAGCGGCACTTTCACCACATCCTGTTGCTCCCACACGCCAGTTCTGACATCCAATGATGTCGGCTGCTTGCCGTGTGATTTGAGCTTCCACTATACAGAGCCTTTAGGGTGTTCACTGTACATGGCTCAAAGACGCTTTGTTGGTGGATTTTCCGATAGACAGGACAGCTAAGCACTCCCTCCCTCTCCTGCTGACCACTGGGCATGCGCACACACTCAGGTGTGCTTGCCTTTTGGTCCGAGCATGTTGGAGCGTTTCCGAGGAAGATGCATTCCCGTCAGGTTTGACGGACAGCTGTCATGCCATGTCATCAGATTTTCAGCCATGGACATCAGCCCCGCAGTTTTTCTATGGTAACGATCTCTGCCTAATTTTCCTGCAGGAATACCCAATACTTCAAACTGCGGGGTGCAATTTTTCGGTCCAAAGCTCCTTTGTTTCGCAACGTGTGGTTCTGGGGAAGGCCTCAGAGACCACATGCTTGGCCTCAGAGACAAGACCGTATTTGACAAAGAAATTGCTTGCAAGCCCAGAAGGACCAACGTTTTGATAATCGCAGCGGGTCTGGGATTTTCAGCAGTTGAGATTTGCAAGAAATGCTTGGCTCATTGATGCTGCGAAGCTCCTCACCCAGCTAAAACTAAATACTTGATAATACTGGGTCATACTGTCACTAGTTATATATCCCGCTTTCAGGCTAATTATATACCAGATTATTGCCTTCTGATGTTCTTGTGGTGTTGGGCAACGGCTTACTTCAACAAGAGTCGTCCAAACTGGAGGCAGCCTTGCCATTCATTAACACAAACTGCCAAACAACTACTGTACCATAAAGTAATCTATCACGGTCATGCTCACGTTTCCTGAACTTGCCATGGAATTCTTAGATGCACCTTCTTGGCGACTCAGAGTCACAGAGTTTCGCCACACTGCCAGAGGTCTCGCACTCAATGCATCGAACAGACGTCGACTCCGTTTTCGTTGCTTTACTTCGTGAGGTGTCATGGGGGGAATCATGGAGGCGTCTCGCGAATCAAAGCTACCCAAGGATTCTCGGCTTGTATATAGACTTTGATTCCATCATCATAGCTGTAGTAGTTTCTTTTTTTTTTGCATGGCTTGATCCGTTTGGATCCTCTGTGCTTTTCCAAATCTCGTCCTGCCCAGGATGAGACGTTGGAGCTTCCCAACCCTGCACCAGCGCTACAATTGAAGCACCCCCACTGGAGGCGTTGAAGATGATTGCAGAGTCGACGATTGTGCAACGGAGAAGGTGTCATAGATTGAGCGGCAGGTTGCTGAGACTGGTGCTACATGATGCAGGACCCCCTCCGCTTGGTGCGGAACCTTGTCGTTATGAGAGACATTGCATAATGCATTAATGCATTCTATTTTTGAATGGCATTGATGCATAATGCAGCCACTGTTGCATGGAGCATGTTCACCATCGTTGCAGCAACAAACTAAGAAGCCAGTGCCGGTGGCCTTCTTCTCTGTAGTGCCAGAGCCGCTGATATCAAAGACGAAGGAGGACAACCTTGCTCAACCCGTGGGAACATGATGGAAAGCTGACTCAGTGTGCTTTGGACGGCTTCTTGTATGTCACCTTCATGGTTCTTGTTTGGCGAATAGGAGGTTGTGCTACCTCACGAACGCAAAAGATGTTGTGATGCTTGCATGGTCATGAACCACAAAGTATTAATTAGGCTGGAGACCATCGCTATTAGGTTGGAGGCCATTTAGGATCATGCACCACAAAGTTTCAAGTTTCCATGGCGTTTTTCCCTGAGGATGTGGTTGTGAGACTTGCTACACATTACGACCGGACGAACTGGCAAGAGCTCTTCAGCGAGTACCGCAAGACCCAGTTTTGTGACCGCACAAAGAGGGATCGAAAAGGAAACAAAAAACTAGTAGCTAGAAGGAGCTTTCAATATTTTTTGAACATAGAGTCATAGACATAGAGTTGTTGCGGGATGGCTGGCGCCAGCCAGACAGAGAGAGAGAGAGAGATAGAGCATGATGGGACATCACTTCTATGTTGGAGGCCATCACTTGTAGGTCCATCACTATTGGGTCATTCTGCTTCCCTTTGGCCAAACTCAGGATTCCGGGAGGCTCACCTCCTTTTGTAGAAGCTGATGTAGCAGCTGAGGCCGTTGCTCGGCTTCAACAAAGACACCGAAAACTAGCTGTCCAATGACCATGGATGCACACAAGTGGTTGTTGATTCTTGAGCCAGTTGCACTGAACCTGGTGATCTTTTCTTAGCCACCCAGGTTTGGCATCTCTTTGCACATGGAGGGGAGTGCAAGACGCACCGATGGAGCCGGGTGGCCTTTTGCACAAAAGACAAAGATATATTTTGATCCTTTTGGTGCCTGCTCGCTAGTGTTGGGCGATCCAGCTTAGCAAGCGAGTGAGTGAGAGTGAGTGAAAGGGAGAGAGTGAGAATTTGGCAGTGAGCACACACAAATGCATTTCTTAAGATATGGTAGGTTATTTGAATAATACGCATATGCAGAGCCAAAAGCAAATCTCGGTGGCTCGAGCAGCACGCCGTCGTGCAGGAGAGCACAGCTCCTGGTTGCCTACAGTGGTAGCACCCTTTTGGGGGCAGCCCACCTGGTTCTGCAGCCACGGGATGCTGGAGATACGGAGTCGTGGCGTGGGTTTCTCAATGACATCTTCGTTTCGCCTGCTGCGACTGGCAAAGGCATTGGCCGAGCAGCTCCGCATCAATAGATGCTTTTGCGCCTTCCTTTGATTATATACGGGTCTTGGAAAAGCATACCAACAACAGTGCCCTTTTGCACGCCAGCAGCAACCAGCACACCAATATAATACCACTATATATAAGATAAGATACGATTAATACTTATTATTTTTAGCACATGTGTATATATATATATATATGAGCAACCACTTTTATAGGCTTTACTAAAGTCGTCTACGGCAGGCTCTATTTGTTTGTCTATCATCAGTGTTCGCTTGTGAACGAGATAGGGCCCCCACATATACGAGATACTTTTGCCTGATGTCACTAAAGTAGTCTGAACGAGATAGTGTGACCTGCTACTAAAGTAGTCTGAACGAGATACCGTGACATGACCTCCTGCTTAAGTAGTCTAAACGAGATAGGGCCCCCACATAAGAGATAGTGTATTTGAGCTAAGTACCAAATAAATGCCGTCGCACATATATATATTGTGATATTCATGAAATATCGCAAGCCAGAAGATGTTATACCTAGACGGCCCAGACCCAACTGACTTGGGTGGAAGATGAAGCCCAGTCCATCTACTACTGTATATTCATAGCACATGCATGATGCCATTGTTGGCAACTGGCTTGGATGTTTGCAGACGACTGTCATTGACCATACTCCAGTATACTATCAGTGTACTCCAACTTGCTCCTCAACACAATGCCGTTGCCACATTTACAGTATGTGGAGTGCATGGCCTTTGGCAGCAGGTGATAATGTCACGAGTGCTGGCCGAATGCCAAAAAGCATCACTTCCTGAACTCTGCTGGTTTTGCCTTTCCGAAAATGAAGCTGCTCCTTGGCCAAATTGTCGTGCAAGCACTAAAGCGGACACAATTTACGTATTTATATATTATATATATTGTTTCCGTCCCGAAGGTGCAGCCGAAAGAGACCCGACGTTGTAATATACACTACATACAGTGCGCCCAACTGCTTTAGATTTAGATTTGCAACGAGCCGGTCGCCTGGTGAAAGGTCTATTTGATATCTTGAATTTGCTTTGCGAAGCACAGGGGTGGCTTGAACAATCTGTGCGGGAGCAATCAGTGAAGTATCAATCGAAGACTCCTCCCCCTTCTGTGATGATATTGCAGTATGATATTGTAACAGAGGAGCTTCGCATGCTGGTGATGCCAAAAGGGCTGCTATTTCGAGCAAAAACCGAGCGCCCATCCCCTGCGCCTTTTCAGATTGCCCACATTCAACACCCCATTCTGACAGCTTCCAGTGTTCAAAACACTTCAAATTTTTGCTCCCTGCAGAAGACCCTGCGGGCTAACCAACGCAAATAGCACGAACATCCCCGTGATTATTTCGACTGTAAAATGGGTGAGCGGGGCCTATCCTCTCATTTTGTCTGGCACAATTTGGGGTAGGTTTCAACATTTGTAATAACGAGTCTCCGTAAAATGGAGGGCGTGCAAAAGAGACCCAAATGTATATATAGCTCAGGGGTTGGGCCATCATTTTACAGTGGGGGCATCGTAGGTATGAGGCCGGCTCATCCACGGTATGTAATATTCACATTGCAAGAACATACACACTAGCGCAAAGTCTGCGGCAAACAGTTTGCTCATCGTAAATGGTTATATATATACATATGGTTCCTCGGGCGTTTTGCCCTACCACAGTTTGTGCGGTTCATGTGTGTTATGTATTTCAGCATGACACACAGGTTGCAAGTTTCATATTTGACAAGCATTGTTTACAAAAAATGAGCAGAAGTGCTATGTTTTAAAAGACAAATGATAATAATTATGTAATCATTGTTCAAAGGGAAAATGCAAGGAATAGTAATATCAAATTTAAATAAAGGAAACTGAAAGGAATTATTCATCCTTTATTCATTGTTTGCTTTTCATTTTCTATTCCTAGAGTATTGTAATTCTTTGCCTGTCTCATGCGCGAACGCAGTGTTTATGCAAAAAGTCCAAGCCGTGGTAGGGCAAAACACCCGCATAACCATACATCAGTATATATATAATACATGGCTCGCAACAAGTTACGTCAGACCTTAGGAGGATAATGGCAGCTTTTGGTTATTGTTAGCTTATCAAACATTTAAAGGCAACTCAAGAACTAATGTCAATCTGGAAAGAGGCTGGCTTACTATTGTACAGGAGTGTATCATCATTGATGCCTACTATATAACTTTATCTATATATTTACGCAATAAACTGAAGCAGTTTTATTATTGCATAGCACAAGTCAAATCTATTATCGCAACTAGAAAAGCAGGATATTATTGTAGAGGAGTAAGCATGAGTAAGCTAAGTTTATTTGTACCAACTTTTGATAAGAAGCAATTTTTTTTATTGGCAGTGTTTACAATTGGCTGTTTTAGGTCTTTGTAAGGGGTGCTCTTTGCCAGGACCTGATGATTCAAAAGAAGGGTGTTTTAAAGACGTTGATTGTTTCGAGCTAGGTTTAAGTTTTGGTTTTGCTGAGAAAATGTAACTAGTTAGTTTGAATTTTAACTTAAACTACGTTGATTCCGTTCCCTAAACCTTGACTCTTACCGAAGAACACACTTTGCTTGGAGACGCACATGAAGATGCTGCCTTACTATGTTTAAAAGGTTTCAAGTAGGTTCATATTGCAGAGAGGTATATAATTCAAATTCATTATTGATGCCTACTGGTTACATTTATATAATTACGTAACATAAACTCAAAACCATATTAATATTTGTATAGCAGAAAGTCAAGTTTTTCTTGCAACCACTGGAAACTCATGTTTTTCATTGTAGAAGAGTAAGCTAAGTTTATTATCGCAACCGTTTAATAAAAACATTTTTGACGGGTGTTTATATATATAATCGATTATAATCGTATGTTTTAGGTCTTCGTAAGGGGTACTCCTTGCCGGAACTTCTGAATGTTTAAAAGAATTGTGTTTCTAAAGGTAGAGGAGTAGCCCAAGTCTTTTTTTGCAATCTACTACAAAGCAGGTGTATTTTTTGGGGGTAGAGGAGTAAGAGTGTGCTGTTTATAGTTGGCAGCATTCAGTGCATATTTGTTTCACAAAAGTGATCGGTTTATTACTGGCTCATGCTATATGTCAGCCTACTTTAAGACAGCAGTTTTCCATTGACAATAGTTTATTATTGCATGGTTTCACGAGCCAGTATTTTTTGTTTATATATAACTGACCCGTGGTTTTCTAATACTAATGTGATGTGAACATTATCTTAAATCCTGGCGTGGCCGGCTCATTCAAATTATGTATCCATCTTCAATCATATATTTTATCAGAGACCAGTGGCTATTTTTACAGGTGACACCTTAATTCTATAAATGCAATTTGTGCAGCTTGATTCATGTGTTAGCAAAATATACAGCCGGAAAGGTTGTAGTTGAACATTGGAATATATTAGACTGAAAGACGCTATATAAATGCAATTTGCTCATGTGGGCTCATGTGTTGCCATGCATTTTTTTGGCTAATTTTTTGGACAAACCCGTGCCCCCACCAATCTGCCAGTTCACGAACTTTTTTCCTAGGGCATCCAAAGACCATGTCACAATAGAATCACAAATACTCAAAATAAAACATCCCAACACATCTTCACACTACAATATACGGAACCAGCTTTGTGTTGTAGGAGTTTTTCAGTGTACTGACATTGATTTGCTCAGAGTCTAGAGTCTAGAGATGCCTGAGTTTTAGCCAGTGAACACCGTCTTTTACAGTATTAACCTTTTTGGTCAAATCCATGCCCCACCTAATCTGCCAGTTCACGAACTTTACTGTTCCTAGGGCATCACTGATCATGTTACCAGGTCGTACTATATGATCACTAGTATTGAAAGAACATCGACATACAGTGTAGTGTATTTTTCCCTGACTAGAACTTTTGGGAACATGTCTGGAGTTCTGTTTGGTGGAAGAAAGTAGTTGTACACCCAAATTATTATCCGTTTTGGGTGCGCAATCAGCCCTGTTCTGTAGCACATCATCTTTTTCTTTATCAGATCTTATTATATTCTTAAACGGAATTCATGGTCCAGAGGCCCTTGCATTTCTTGCCGGACTGGTTGTAAGCGTAACTACTGTAAATGAGAACCCAAGTAACAAAGGAAACAGTATCCCGCTGGCTATGCTAGTACTTAATGATGACGATGACGTTTTTGAGTGTGGACGAACACCGACTAACCAGGCTTTCTAGGTCCTGGAGGAGATGCTGGGCTACATACAACTTATATAGATAACTATATTGCATATGGTATCGGTGCCCGCCATATGCATATCATATGCTGTATGCTTCTACCTGCTCCAGTGTTGCCTCAACACAAAACAGCCAAGGCGATGTCCTTCTACCAGAGGATGGGGTTCAAGCCAACACCTGCCACGGTGTGGAACTATCCAGGGATGTATGAGGCTGCTTGATGCCTCAGTCGATGCTGAGCCGAACAAAAGAATTGCCCTTGCGACCTTCTTTTCCATTGAACTTGCGTTGCGCAAGAACTCAGCACACAATGGTATAATGGCTTATACGGAAACTTTTTTGTATCCGGGTGTCAAAAGAAGACAGGCTCTCACTTGCAGTTGTTGACCATTCAAAAACATGCACATATATTAATTTCGTTTAGGTTGGATGGACAGTACGGTACAGTCTTAGTCTTGTCTCATGGTTGTTGTGCTACAGTGCTGCCACACAAGCTTTTCACTGAGTCTTTAGTTTTGTTCAGTTCAGACACAGCCACCGTAGGGTGCATCACAAGTAGTAAATTAGTAAACCCACCAAACGGGCCAGCCGGGGCCATGGCATCTTTTTCAACGTCATCAGCCAAGGCGCAGCTGATTTTTTGCAACTGCTAGTCTCCGCTAGTCACTATAATCGCTGTTCTCGACCATGCTGGTGCATCCTTCGCAAGGCTGGAAGTAGTGTTGGAGGAGGAGGATGGGCAAAGGCCAAGCACCAGTCTGCGGGAGGAGGCTCGCTCCAATTGCGAACAAGCAAATGTCTTCGCATTCTGTTGGCTCCTGTGCCCCCAACTGCCAGGGGGCTCAACCTTGGAACGGATCCAACAAATCGAGTTGGAAATCTCTCGGACACAGAAGAACAAGGCGCTAGCTGCTGACATCAACAATCTAGAGAACACGGAGAACACATTTCTTCTTAAGAAGTGTTGGATTCTGTTGGGGTTAGGAAGCTGTGTGTTTCAGTTTCAGAATGTTTTAGAATGTTTTAGATACGTTCCGACAGGACAGTGATGCAAATTTTAAATTGTGTAGTGTAGTTAGCCTTAACGCTATTAAAGGCACACTTCTTGGTGATATGCAGCCATTCACTTGACCAACACGTGGACGAAAGGCCACTGCCAAGCATCTTGGAGAGTCAGATGCCTAGCGCATGGTGGGACACAGATTGTGGAGGCAAGCGTGCAACACGTGGCTGTATTCGAATCGTCGCTCTGCAACTGCATGCGCGGAGCACTTGCTATGGCTTTAGCTAAATTGCTTGGCCAAATAAACCGTCATTAGGATCGACAAGCCAAGATACGGAAATGAACAAACAGGTGACTAAGTGTTTCCTGAAGATTAAATTGTTGTCATGACTCTGAAAAGAGCTTTCGTTGACTCTTTAGGCTGAAAGCAAAGCTTTGTAAGCTGAAGCGGGATATGCTCGAGCCTTCAGGAGGAGGTTGGACCGACAATCACTGTCAGAGTTGCGCTGTGTCCAGCACATCGTTTGCCTTCGAAATCCTCGGGCGGGCTTTATTAGTGCATGCCGGTCTGATAATTCTGATACACACACGCGAACCAAATAGCACACTTGACTTGGCAGATGGTCAATAAACAAATGTATATATACACATACATAGTTATATATAATTGAGGTGCCTGTAGTCTTGCTGTTTACGCATGTAGAGGTAGTGGAAACTCATGAGTCATTTTATGTATTCAGTCCTTCAAGTCCTTTATGCAGAATCTAGAAGCCCAGGCTCAAGCTCCCCACGGATCCCCACGGTGCATTTCCTGTAATGGAGGGGGACACTCTGTGGAGAGTCTGGAGTCTGGAGTTTCTGTTGCAGTTCTTTGTTGGATTGTGTTGCTTTCGATGGGTTGGCTTTCGATGGTTCCTAGTAACTTCTGTGGGCGGCTGCCTTTTTGCAACTTCTGTTGGCTTTTGTTGGCTACTGTTGCCTCGTTTCCACCGGCTTCTTGAAGCGATTTGTGTGCTCTTTGCGTGGGAGGGCGCTGTGCCATGTCTACCAAGGACCTGCTAAACCCACAATGGTGAGTGCTAAGGGGCACCAGGTTCTTGCCAGTTGACCTTTGCAAGCTCGCCCGGCTTTCAGACCAGCTTTGCTCAAACCCAATAACTTCTCCAATTCTGTCCGGCCCAAGTTGTGCTGCTATGCTAGTGGTGACACTGACTACATCTACAAATGCATCAGCCCCACATTGCTGCCTGGCATTGCCTGGCCAAGTCTCGTGTTTGTCAATAATCTCCGACGAAATGGAACAGCTTCGCGTGTCCGGTGGCCAAGGCGGTCCAACACCACTTTCTCGACACTTTGCTTCTGGCTTATACTTATACATGCACTGCCTTACTTTTTCTGAGCTTCTACTATGAATCTCCAAGCGAGAAACATCCAGTGCTCCCTCCCGTTTTTTCCTTGCAGGCTGTTGCAACATCAGTCACAGTGTGCCTCACCTTGCTGCCTTGCCAAATCTCAATCGAACCAGCCAACCGCCAAGCTGCCAAGACACAACGTTGGAAAGCTTGCGCAGCTCCAGGATGCTGTAAATCTTGCAGTAGAGCCCCACAGCTTGCAACCCAGCAATAGGAGCGTTGGACTGGTAGGTAGTTGTACAGAAGGTAATAACACACCAAACAGGCAGATGCTTGGACCTTACATTGGAGGCCTGGTTGTCCATGTTAGGTATTGGCCAAGTGAAAATCCCGTCCACCCTGTGTAGTGGGAGTGGTGGCTCACGCTACAAAACAAAGCGGTTAAGCTCTTGTAACTGGGCTGGGTAGGCCTGCTTCAATGCAGGCTGCCTGCTTGCAGTTTATCGCCGGTTGTGCGGGTTCTGATGCTATCTGATGCCAATAGCAATAGAAGAAAACAGCTCCAAGAAAACAAACAATCCAAATTAAATCCGGGCGGGCCCTCCAAAAAACATATATAATATATAAATATATATATATATATCGTCACATCTCAGGGACTGGCTTCAGCACCGTTCGTCCCTTTTCAGCTGACCTTTGGCAATACACAGACGAGCTCATGCCTTGGTTCTGTATCAGGCGGTGGCAAGGTTGCTGGCTTTGAGGCGACCATTTGAAAATATGTTGGTTGTCCATGGTGGCCTTTAGAAGGCAGTTGGTACTGAAGGTTGAGCGATATCACCATGGAAATGGACGTGGTTGTTCAGATGGGCCTTCGCTGTCACGATGTTTGTGTAATTCATTCTTGCCAGGAAGACCATGAATCACATCAGTGGAATCAATGGCCGTGGCAGGTCCAAAAGATCGGGGACGCCCGCATTGGACTGGTAGGGTTTCCATCAGTTGGAAAGTCCTCCTTGCTGACTGCTTTGACTGGCGTTCAGTTCGGCCCTTATATATGTTTTACACCAAGAAGAGTGAGAGAGAATGAGAAAGAGAGCTAGAGAGACTAGAGTGACTAGAGGGTTCTTGTTCTCAGTAGAAGATCAGCATGTAAGTTTCGTCAAATGCTCAGAGTTTGAAAGGCACTTTTGCAAAGTGGAGTTCCAAACTAGTTTGAACTTTTGCACCTTGAGGAATTTGCAAAATCTTGGTTGTAGCTTCTTATTGTTTGTCTCCATTTGTGCCATACCCCGCAACACGTGGGCGCCCTTTCAATCGTAACACAATAGTAGATCCTTTTCACACAACAAGCGGGACATTGGGAGCTGTGGAGGCCAGGGGCCTCCAACCCATTTTGTGGCAGATTTTAGCCGCAAGAACGGAAATGAGGACGTCCATGCCAAAACTGTTTTGCATTGGCAGTCCTTGTTTTTCACCTGGCTGGGCTAGCAGGAAACAATGGTCAAAATCGCAATGGCTTGCGTGTCGAATCACAAAGAGCGAACACGTGCAAGAGATGCTACTTTTGATAAATACCGCCCCCTTACAGACTCAGAGCATCTCAGAGCCAGGATGGTCAAAATTTCAATCTGAGGGGAGTTGATGAAGCAGTGAACATGCTCCCCTTTTGGACTTGTGAGAGGTAGGGCAGTTTTCAAGGTCTGAAGCTGCCGCATATGAGCACGTGCCTCAGTTTTGCCAAAACTCTCCAGATCAGTCGAGCATTGGTGATAGTGGTGCAATTGCAGAGCATGAAGGAGTCGCTCCTTTTATATAGAGTGTATCGTGCATTATCGTGCAACTTTGTTGATGTCCAAGGTTCACGACCTTGACATGTATACCTGGTGTGATCTACTACAATGATGCTGGCCCCTCAGACACGCTTGCCGCTGACATGCCGTTGCAGAACTTGCGGCCAAGATTAGAATTCAACTCCTAGATCTTCCTGGGTTGATTGTTGGCACGAGCCCCAGGTAGCAATTGCACGGTGCACTTTGCAACCCATACATGCAGATTCTAGCCTTGGTGTGCTATCATTTGCAAGGCTTGCACGCCTTGGACCTTTCATGCCGTAGTTGCGAGATTTTGCTTGCAACTTCAAACCTTGCCCGGAAAGCAGCACAATGATTCCAGTCTAATTTGAGCTATAATATGTCTTAGGTGCCTCTACTGGAAAAGGCCGAGGACGTCAGGTTATCGTCACTTGGAACAACTTGACTTCTGGTGCTGTGAGTTTTGACAGGGCGATTCTCACATTTGAGCCTTTGTGAAACCCAGGCAACTGCGAAATCATGTGACATTATTCTCATGGCCGCTTCGGCCAAGCAGTTCCCAGTGGAGACACTGGAGAAGTGTGCTTTTACTGTAAGGGTGCTTCGTTGCTTCATCGAAAAGGCCGGTTCACTAAGGTCTTGGATCCCACCAAAGATGATGCTCAGAAAGAGATGCTGACAAAGGAGCGGCTGTGCAATTCCAAATCAATGCATATCATTTATCCCAACTCCTTCGTTTGTTCTGCGGTGTCAGGCATTGTAGCCTGAGCAAAAGTGCTCGTTGGAAAATGTTCTGAAGTACATTGCAGGAGTTGGAGAATGTGGGCATCAGGCTGAACAAGAAACCTCCGGATGTCACAGTGCGTCCCACTAAAGGAGGAGGACCGGGCTGGGTGGTGGAAAGATGCCAAACAACTCCTCAATACGTTTTGAGAGGGTTGTCATTGCACGGATGCTGGCTGCCATGCCTTCATGCTTACAGGCTTTCCCAGTTGTGCGAGGACTGAAATTTCAGGCCACCGTTCCCCTCAACCATTTTGATGAGGAGGTTTGTGCAACCGTCCTCAAGCAGCTTTGGCCTCAGTCCTCCGATATTTGTACATTTTCAATACGGACCGCCGCGGTTAGTTTCCTGGCGCTTTGTCGGTGAACGCGCATATTATTGCAGGTACAAGATGCATAACGCGGACGTGTTGGTCCGCGAGGCGAGGACTAGACTTCATCACGAAAGGTTGCCTCAGCAACTACTTTGCTTTAGCACGAAGCATTGGGACGGGATTTGACTTGATTCTGGTGGTTGAAGTGGTTTGCATCGTTCGCCTGGGCCCCCCCACAATCAGATCTCCCTCGTCCGTGGGATGAAATCCATTTTCTCTCTTGTTTTTCGTGCAGGGACTGACTCCTGCGTGCACCTCCTCAAATCTGCCAATCATTTTGTTCACCCCTCTCAATCAAATTTTAACTCCGAAGCGAACGATGATCTTGAGTGAGTATGAGATGAGGTTTTATTTACTGTAGTATACTGTAATTAATCTTATAAATTTATAAAGAGTTACTGCACATATGCAGATAATAGTCAATATATGTCAATATAGTTGAATGTGAACAAAGCCGTTTTGAATAAATGCTCGAAGACTCGGGATTAATAAAATTGCGCTGCGGCGGCAAGGCGGCCCCGCGGGGAGTACCCTGACCGGCTATCGGTGACACTACCCCGCCCTCTACTCTTGCGGCGGGTGCAGGACGTCACAGTCGATGAGTTCATAGACGTTATCGACGGCAACAGAAAATACTGCAAATGCGTCTCGCTTTCAACGAGTGACGGTCAAGGAGGAATGTTGGAGTTGGAGTTTCATTTATATAGTGCTGCACTTGAGGCATCTATGTGTATAACAAGTGCCTTGGACAAGTTTAGCAACACAACAAGAAAGAACCCAGAAGAAACCACGGCATGCCATTGGCCATGATGGCATAATAGTTTAACAGCAAGCGGTGCAAGTCAACTATTGAGTGACACCAAGAAGATCGAAAAAAAAAAAATAAACTTTGGGACATTTTATCATGATTTTACAGTACTGCATTCAAGGAAAGTTTTGGCAGTATCTCAAGGATTGATTTGCTCAAACTGGAAGAAATTGATGAACTGGCCAGACGACCACAATCAGTGGTGGTTTCGGTTCCTTGGAGGAAGAGATGGTGTGTGAGGAAACTATAGTGTTCGGCCAAGTGTGCTCGTGCTTCCTATGGAAGCTAGCGGCGCGAGGTCCAAAACAAGTGGAACTACGCAGCTCGGTGATATCAAACGATATAAAGTGATATAAATCTATTTTACTTATTAACTATTGCTAGCTGCTGTTAGCTTTTATTACGTGTCCTCAGTCCTTGGTACTTGGTGATAGCGGACCATCCGAGGCGGAAAAACCACATTATGATACATATATAATGTATTTCTGTGATTAGACTTGTAGATTGGTACTTGTGATGTTGGGTTTTGAAATTCACTCCTTCTAAGGAAGACCTGGTGGACTTTCGACAGAGAGTCCCCCAAAACAACCCTAGTTTCAGCACTAGTCACTGTAGTCGTCGTCGTCGCCGTCGTCGCCGTAGTCGCCGTAGCAGTAGTGGAAAATCGTAGTTTAATCTCAATTAAGCACGCAAATTTGATTTGAAAAAAACACCCTTGGACAAGCAAAACAATGAAAAGTGGTTTAACATCATGTGTCAAACATGATTCATGATTTGATTATTTAAGATTCAACGTTGCACAGTTGCACGGCATCGCCACTGAATAAACATACCGAATGAATAGGAAGCTGAACTCAGGACTACCTTTTGCGAAGACTCTGGGATGAGATGGAAATTGTCAGGATTGCTGTTTTCTTGTACTGCTCCCACCAGCATTCTTCCCCATTTTTCATTGGGACCACTTCTTCCGAAATGAAATGAAGAGTATTGAGTATTGGGTGCAGCGCAGGGTCTACACAAAGAAGAAGGGCCAATTCCCGGACTTCTCTGTGGCTTGGATGTTGTTTTTCAGAAAAATAGCCTTCGGGCGTTTCTGTGGACCCCTGCAAGGACCACATAGGGCCGTAGGGATTCTTAATGTAGGGCCGCAGCCTAGTTGTGTAATTGACTTTCATGTGGATGCGTTCTACTTGGGTGTTTGCCGTCTTGCTCGGGATCCCATCATCATCACCCCTCAACGAGGAAATAAATTATTCACAGTTGAGAATGCCGTGCTGCTTCTGCACAGCTGCTTGGTAGCTTCATGCCAATCATAGGATTCTTGCATTCGTCACAGGAGTCAGAACGCACTGCACACAAAAATCAGACTGCAGTTTGTCACGGAACCCAATGCAGATTCTCACTCATCCAATTCCAGTTGGTCTAGCAGCCTAGCATTCTCAGAATCCTTGCTGGAAGACTTCAAGCATGCCTTTGTTTGGGGCAGCAGCGTCAAGCAATCTCCACAGGCAGGGATGCGCCCGACAGACAAGGATGCTTGCGTTGCCAGCAGAAAGATGCAGCTAGAAGGAATGTCAGACCAGAGAAAAGAACTCGGAGATCGGTCTGAGATCAGTTCCTGCTGCGCTGAAACTGCTCAATGAAACCACAGGTTTGTGGTACTTGTGCTATGATGATGTGTTTTTGTGCATGCTACCGTGAGCTTGATGGCGTGGCGCGCACAGGTGTGTGGCAAAGATCATATTTTGCATGATCAAGATGTTGTCCAGATTGTGAAGCTAACACAGGTCCTGCCCTTAGGCAAAGGATTTGCACCCCGGTGAGCAGTACCAAACCAAACCCATCAAGCCTAGGCTGAAAAAGCGAAAGCGCTTCATGGTAAGAAGACAGGAGCCTGAGGGAACGAGGGAATTCCCAACATGCTTCGAAGGTGTTTGGTGGCTTATATCTTTTCCTTTTAAACAAAAGTGACAAGCCCCATTGTGCTTCCTGTCCTGCGGTTGCTTCGGGTGATCACTCTAAAGTAGCAACGGCAGAAGGCCATGGGGATTGGTGGATACAACGGGATAGAACACATATTGAGCTTATCTTGGGCATTCCCAAAGAAAAACAAGGCACCCGTGCAAGTTCCCAGGAACCACCATCGCTGGGTCGAACATCAAGGCGCGCACGTCTCGATAATAGGCTCACAGCTGCTTGACCAAATCGACTTGGCTTGATTGGCTCAGAACATTAGGTGGAGAAGAAGAAAGAGGATAAAGCTCCTTTGAAGAGCTGAGAAGCTGCTCAGAAAAAAGTGCACCACAGTTTGGCCAATTAGGGTGGACAGATTGAATTTGAGGGCCACACTTCAGAGGTCAGCCACAAGCAAGACGATTCTGCTTGGTCAAGGTTGGACCAATTGCACCATCCAGAGTCCTACATTTGGCCCAAGCCCATGCAAAGATGCTGTAGCCAAGCAGAGTCTTGTCATGACCGCTGGTGGCCTGGCTCAGCACACGCAGCTGATCTCCCATATGGGCAACCTTGGGAGGTGGGTCAAAGTCTTGCATCTTCTTGCCAAGATGCGAACTCTCCGCCTACAACCAAACGTTATTACCTACAATTCCAGTCACTTGGATGAGGGTACATGAGGAAAAGTGAGCCGGTAGTGACAGAGGAGATAAAGGCTTGCTGTCGGCCTGTGCGTTCCTTTCTTTGGGGTGCCGATGTTTGCTGAGGTATCCATGCATGTGGTCGCAGCAATTTGTGGCAGCAAGCGCTGGCTTTGTTGTTTGAGATGAAGCACAAATACCTGAAGCCGGACGCGTGTCATGTCATACTGCAGACAATAAAGAAACAGGTTTGCGACAAATGTTGGCCCAGCAAAGAGGATAATTGCCGTATATTAGATCTTTGAGGTGATCGCGCGGGCGGCGGGGGGTTGAGGTTTCTCACCAGATAGGAGTTTGCGTTCATCACGATTGATTCTTCATTGCTACAACTTGCAAGGACAACATCTCTTACAACACCAGCATTACCGCCTGCGAACGGGCCTTGCGTCCAGATTTGATAGCCCAACTCATAGCTGAAATGAGCCGAACAAGCATTGAAGCAGACTTGGTGACCTACAATGCGAGCATCAGTTCTTGTGAGAAGCCTGAGCTGTGGTTTGGGTTTGCTTCTTCATGTTGCGCCTTTATGAATGTGATTGCAATTGCAAGTCAATGACAAGGCCGTTTATGTGCATATGCAAACCGTTGAGTGTGTTTCTTTCCCACTGATGCTCACCTAGTGTCAATTGGTTTGTATAGACTCTTTCATGGCTTGGGTGAAGCCCCAGTGTGCGCTATGAAGGGGAGCCCAAACACTGCCAAACACCTTATATATCCTTATATATATTACCTTAACTTATATATATATTATATTATACAAGCCACTCATGCACTCCGAATGTGATGCAGTTCGAAAGCTTTTGCTTTTGATTGGTGCTGGCCTATGTTGGCCTTAGGTGCCTTAAGTGGTTAGCTGAGGAAGATCTCTGACTGGGCTGGTGCTTTGCATGTGCTATTTTCCATGCACCAAAGGCTTATCCAACCTGATGTGGTGACCTTTGGAGCCACCCGGTAGCTGATTTGCAAACATTTGCGCACATTTTCAGAGAATATAATATGTACGTATAATCTAGTTTTGTCATGGCAGCTGTAGCATAGCATAATCTCTCTGACATGTGTCAGCTGGCACTAGTTACTGGTAGCTTTATCCGAGACATGGCAAGACATTTATAATTCTATCCCAGTGGACTTGGACAGGGGCAGGGAGCGCAAGCCTGAGACCATTCACAATCAGATTTGCTGCTGTGTGCATCCAAAGCCCATGGCAGAATACAACATGCAACAACAATCAGCGCAGGAGAGGATAATCTATTCTATTCTACGGAAATTGATTTTCGATCTTGAATTAGAATAAATAGTTTGTCTACATCTATGTTGCTATCATCTTATATACATAAATTGATTTGGTGCCCGCGTCCAAGGCCAGCATCAGTGCTTGTGAAAAGGGTTCTGAATGGCTGGCAGCTTTGGACCTACTTGAAGACATTCACCGCAGAAGGTCAGGGTTTGCTGGCATTGTTTTACCACGGAAGCTGTGGTGCTTAAGGCTTTAGGCATTGCAGGTCAGGAACTAAGCTATTGTGACTGTTTGCCTAGCGGCCCAGCATGCAGGCTTCAAGCAAACGTCGTGGTCAACAGTGCTGCCATCAGCGCTTGTGCGAAATGCTCTAACTGGCAGTATGCTTTGTGGATCCTGCAAGACATGGAGGACTGCTCCAGCAGTGCTAGGACATTCAAATTTAGGCTTTCAAGTCAGCAACGAGTTGCTAAGCCTGCTCCATCAACCTGATTATGTATTATAGTCGGTTCTTGTGCGGCTTGCCTTCCAAGGCTCAAGAACTAATGGGAGACGTCGTGGCATACAGTTCGGCAATCACTGCCTGCAAGAAGGGAGCGGCCTGGGAATCAGCACTGGAACTCTTGCGGGACATGAGACTTTGCTTGCAATCATTGATTTTGTAGTAGGAGCAAGAAGCTACTAGTTAACAAGGGCATCGCTACTAGGA